ACGACAGCCCAGCCGCCCCCCCACCCACCCATCCCCGGTGCTGACTCACTGGTCACCGACCACCACTACCACCCACCACCACCACCGGTACCACTGCCGTAAACGGGCCCGAGGCGCCGCCTGTTGTGTTGCTTTCTCGGGACCGAGTTGGGAGAGGGGCCAGCCCTCATAGCTTTGGTGGGGGGGGGGGGGGAGGGGGCGCTGGAGAGGGGCTAAATCCATCCGGCGACCCGAGTCCGATCCTCCAGCCACGCCTAACGGCTAACGTCGGCGGCAAGTGACATCCGAACGAGGGCCTGAGCCGCCTGCTCTTCACAAACAACGACAATACTGACCAGCGTGGCGAAGTACGGTCAAGCAAGCCCCAGGACCGACACGGCTAATGGGCGCACAGGGGCTGAATTAACGTCGCCGCTGGTGGCGAGAGGGGCACTTAGGGTCCCCACCTCCGCAATACAAGCACTCGTTATCCTAAATATGGGATCACAGAGCTTGGGCAATTACTGCCGGCGAATGGTTCTAGCCGTGTGTGGCCTCCCGCGCCTCCGTGCGAAAAACTGTGCACGTCGCATATTCCGCAGCGGTTCGATCTCCAGTATTCTTGAATGATGCCGCGATATGAAAAAAAACACAAATGGGACGTATCCGAGAGGGGAGACCAGCATGCGAAAGCGTCGCCTCGAGTGGGTGGCTTGTCGTTACTCCGACGCGGCTGACAACAACAGGGACTCCCGTCCACGCACGAAGACCGAGAGATTTCCCAGGGCAGAAACTGCTGCTGCTGCTGCCTCAGGACAGGTGGCAGCCCGAGCGGGAAGGTGGGGGGGTGGAGGCACGGGGTTGGGGGGTCATCAGTCATCACCACTGGGGGTGCCAACCACACTCAGGGCCCCCTTTTTCCCCATGAGCGTCGGGTTCTCCCCGCCCCCTGCCGCCCGCACGTCCCGAGGGAGACCGTGACCCAATTGCTGAGTCAGCACCGATGGAGGCCTCGGGCTCGTTTCGCTGTGCCAGCCAGCATGGCCGCTCACTCGTGTGGCACGGAGAGTGGGGGGGGGGCTGTTGAGAGACTTTTGGGTAACAACGTGGGGGAATCGAAAGTGGGCGCTCCTATTTCTACCACTGAAGACTCGGGCGTAAGTGATTGAGCCGTTCAATTGCTTTGTCCGAGAGGTGGTGAACTGTGGGTAGACCCACTCACCCACGCACTCACCCACCCACGCACCCACTCATCCACCCACCCACGCACTCATCCACCCATGCACTCACTCACCCATTTCACTCACCCACCCACTCACTCACCCACCCACCGACCGACCCACCCACTCATCCACCCACGCACTCACTCACTCATCCACCCACCCACGCACTCACCCACGCACTTACTCATCCCCCCACCCACCAACGCACACACTCATCCCCCCACCCATGCACTCACTCACCCACCCACCCACCCACTCATCCACCCACGCACTCACTCATCCCCCCACCCACCAACGCACACACCCACCCACGCACTCACCCACCCACGCACACACTCACCCACCCACCCACCCACACCCACCCACACACTCACCCACCCACCCACGCACGCACGCACTCACTCATCCCGCCACCACCAACGCACACACTCATCCCCCACCCACCTACGCACTCACCCACGCACTCACTCACCCACCCACCCACCCACGCACCCACCCACCCACGCACTCACCCACCCACGCACGCACCCACGCACGCACGCACCCACCCACCCACGCACGCACCCACCCACCCACGCACGCACCCACCCACCCACGCACGCACCCACCCACCCACGCACGCACCCACCCACCCACCCACGCACTAACCCACCCACCCACCCACGCACTAATCCACCCATTCATGCACTAACCCACCCACTCACTCATCCACCCACCCACGCACTAACTCACTCACCGACCGACCGACCGACCGGACCCACCCGCCGCCTCCACGTGTACATTTGGGGCAGTGCAACTTTATGTGTTCGTAGTAGCAGTCGCACTCAGGAGAGATAGAGAGAAAGTCGTTGACCATGGATTGACACCGACCACAATTTTACGAGATCCGATTGCACCGCTCCATCTCCACACATACACACCGATGAGGAAAGTGTTGTTAGCGAGCACCTATTAAGGCTGGCACGGAACATAAGAGAGGAAAGTAGGCTGCGCCACGCACGGCGCCACCTTTGTCTCCCAAGTGTTGATGTTTTCACATCGCACCGAGTACTCACTGCAAGGGCCGAGCCGACCTAGCGGAGGCCCAGTATCTATTCGGGCATCACTCGCCACTGATCGTCAGCCGTGATCCAGACAATCGAACCTAGGGCCGGAAATAATCATAACCAACTAGCCTTTTGCCCGTCCAAGGACGGGTGTATTGCAGTAAATCTGAAACTTGCAAGCGAAAAGCAGAACGCCACGTGATATATTCATTGCATTAATGCGTCTGCAATTTGTAAGGGCGCGGTGACACAGACCCATTTCATTTTAAGGTTATAATCCCTTGTTCATCATGACGTCCTTTTTACTTTGATGTCTCAACAGCGCTACGGAGATCACGTGACGTGAGGGTTCTGCCTTTGTAGTGAGGGTTGTAAGTTGACGCCGAGGAGGGGGGAGGAGGCGTCTCGCCCCCCCCCCATGTGGAGTGACGTCACCCGCTAATTATTATGAATGGAGGGGGTGTCCATTTGGAGTGACGTCACCTGCTGATGATTATTAGTGAGGGGGGGCTGTTCGATGTGGAGTGACGTCACTTGTGCATGATTATTAGTGAGGGGGGTGGGGGAGTACTCCATATGGAGTCACGTCACCCACTCTTAATTATTAATGAGGGGTGGGGGGGTGTCCATTTTGAGGACGTCACCTGCTCATGAATATTAATGAGGGGGCTGGTCGATGTGGAGTGACGTCACGAGCGTTAAGGACAGACATTCCTGGGTGATGATCGTAGGTATAATCATCTAAACCAAAAAAAATACGAGTGAAACTCAAATGATGTGACGTGTCCAGGCTAGGTGCACTTGGAGGCCACGTGTCCTCGCGTAGCTCACAAAAGCACGTGGGTTCCACGCAGACACAGGCAAGGACACAACACAAAGATCCCCCTCCTATAGCCTTCAATAGACTGTTGGGACAAGTGTTGTTAGCAAGCGCCTCTGAATGACGACACAGCAGACGAGGGGGTGGTGTGGCCAACAGCACACCCGGCTGCCTTCGTCGATGTTTTACACATCGGCGCTGGCTAACTTTTGAAGGCCCAGTCGACATACGGGAGATCCAGGACCGGTTGAAATATTCGCCGCTGTTATTGCTCATGAGTGGGTCACTGGGTTCGTAGCGCACAGCGTTAACCACTGCCACATAAACCGCACGCATGCGCACGCACGCACGCACACACGCACGCACACGCACGCGCACACACACGCACACACGCACGCACACACGCACGCACACACACGCACGCGCACACGCACGCGCACACACACGCACGCGCACACGCACATGCTCGTGTAGTTTAATCTCAGCGGTATGTAGGTCATTTTCTGTTTTTTATGTCGGGTGAAAGAAAATTTCTGAATGCTCTTTGCTTTGGTTGTGAACGCAAGTCAAGTATTAGGCTCCAAGTTGATTTTGGTGTGACCAGGTGAGAATTCTAGAGAACAGGATAGAGCCTCGTTTGCAAGAGGATAAAATTTAAAATGTATAAAATAATGAGAACAACAGTAAGACTGTACAGCAATGAAGCAAATATAAAATCGGAACATAAAATCAGGACAAATATGACTATCTAATTGTAAAAAACTATAAACTACTTTTATTTTACCAGGTAATGCCCACTAAGCTATGTAGCTTTTTTTCAGAAGCGACCTGGCCACAAGTGATTGCTCAACGAACGTGGCTTATTACGTGGAAATTTATAGCAGACAAATATTGGGCTGCTGCTTACCCGGAGAACAATCCACGTGAGCATGGGGAGAGGGACACGCAAACTCCAAATACACAGCAGGCATCAGGGTTGGGATCGAACCCACGGACCTCCTGTAGTCCAGGCGAGGTAGTTAACATCTCACCACCACCACGGTGCCCTATTTGTGCCTCATTGGCACGGTCAACCCTCCTCGCTCAGGGCGCGACGCCGGCGCCACGACCCACCCGCCCGTCACGGCACCACGGCAACGTGTACCGGGACACGGCCGCGGGACACGGCCGCGAGACACGGCCGCGGGACACGGCCGCGGGACACGGCCGCGGGACACGGCCGCGAGACACGGCACCCGCGAGACACGGCCGCGGGACACGGCCGCGGGACACGGCCGAGGGACACGGCCGCGAGACACGGCCGCGGGACACGGCCGCGGGACACGGCCGCGAGACACGGCACCCGCGAGACACGGCCGCGGGACACGGCCGCGGGACACGGCCGAGGGACACGGCCGCGAGACACGGCCGCGGGACACGGCCGCGGGACACGGCCGAGGGACACGGCCGCGAGACACGGCCGCGGGACACGGCCGCGGGACACGGCCGCGGGACACGGCTCGCCAACCAGAGGTCACGTCGCCCCTGCAGCAGTGCACTCGAGGCGCCACTGCATTCACCGCGACGGTAAAGAGACAGAAATGTTTCGGGGAGATTGGAATCGGGGTCCCAGATCGTGACGGTGAACCGGCGGCATTCCGCCGCCAAGGACGCCCACCGCCACGGTGGAGTTCGGATGCCGTCCGACGTTCCGTTCCACCGCCCCGCGGAATGGGCGGAGCTCAAGCCGACCGGACGAACCGTTGGCCAATGGCAGACTCGGAGGCGGGGCCGGAGGGATCTCACGACGACGACACGAACCGGGCGCGGCAAAACCGTCCGGCAGACGGGCGGTCACGAGCCCTGCCAAATCGGCACCCCCGCACAGAAGTGCACCCCCCCCCCCCCCCCCCCCCGGGTATGTCCACGAGTGCAGAGTTGCCGCGACCTCACCTTTCCGTCGTCGGGAGCCGGTGCCGTGACCGCGGTGTCCTCCGAGACTCCGCTTGCCGGCGCCAGCTGCTGCTGCTGCTTACGGTTCCCGGGCTGCCACTCCGCCGGTTTGTCCGGTGCCTTGGGTTTGGCGACGGCCTTCGTCGGCGGCTGACTCTGGTTGAGCGGCGCCACGCCGCCACCGGTGACGACGGCGGCGGCCGGAGCGCCACGTCGAGCGACGGCCGCCGGCTCCGCTCCGACGGGCGCCGGCTGCTGGGCACCGTCCGGCGACCCCGTGGGCGTGCGGGGGCAGCCCTCATCGCTGCGCTCCGAGTCGCTCGACCCCGCGCGCTTGAACCGCTTGGCGCAGGCGGCGCCGGGCGAGCCCTTCCGGCAGGGAGCGTCGCGCCGGATCTTCCCTCCGCCGCCGCCGCCGCCGCCGCCTCCGCCGCCGCTTCCGCCGGAATCGGCGGAAGCGGCGCTGGAGGGCGGCGAGGGCGAGCAGACCGACGAGGAGGTGGATGCCGCGGCCGCCGCCGCCGCCGAGGCCGAGGTGGACGACGCGGCGGAGGAGGCCGCGGTGGACGACGCGGCCGACGAGGTGGAGCTGGAGGAGTCGGAGGAGTCCGAGTGGACGCTGTCGCTCTCCCCGTCGCCGTGACGACGGCCCTTGCGGGCCCGGACCCTCGGCAGGCCGTCTGCTTCCGGGTCAAGCCTTGACTTCAGCGTGGAGTTGTCCACCATTTTACCACGAGGATCTGGGGGGGAGGGGGCGAGGGGCGTTGGCGGCCGCCGCCGCTCGCGAGGCCGGCGCGACGGACGGCGCTGCTGCTGCTGCTGCTGCTGCGCGCCGCAGCCGAGCGTCACGGTGCTCCCCACTCAACACGAAGCTGCGTGGCGCTGGCGAGGTACGGCCGTGGCGCTGGCGAGGTACGGCCGTGGCGCTGGCACGCAACGGCCCGAGTCTTTTGTCGGGGGACCTCTGAACGTCCACCGCACGTGAAGCGGACGGCGCGTCGTGTTTCACGGTGAATGCGCACGGCAAGATTAACCAGGGGCGGCCCGCCGGGCTCAAACAGCATCCCTCCGCAACAAGCAACACTCACCCTGACACCCCAACACTCACCCCGACACCCCAACACTCACCCCAACACCCCAGTACTCACCCCGACACCCCAACACTCACCCCAACACTCACCCCGACACCCCAACACTCACCCCGATACCCCAAAACTCACCCCAACACTCACCCCACCACTCACCTCGACACCCCAACACTCACCCCGACACCCCAACACACACCCCGACACCCCAACACTCACCCCGACACCCCAACACTCCCCCCGACACCCCAGTACTCACCCCGACACCCCAACACTCACCCCAACACTCACCCCGACACCCCAACACTCACCCCGAGACCCCAAAACTCACCCCAACACTCACCCCACCACTCACCTCGACACCCCAACACTCACCCCGACACCCCAACACTCACCCCGACACCCCAACACTCCCCCCGACACCCCAACACTCCCCCCGACACCCCATTACTCACCCCGACACCCCAACACTCACCCCAACACTCACCCCGACACCCCAACACTCACCCCGATACCCCAAAACTCACCCCAACACTCACCCCACCACTCACCTCGACACCCCAACACTCACCTCGACACCCCAACACTCACCCCGACACCCCAACACTCACCCCGACACCCCAACACTCCCCCCGACACCCCAGTACTCACCCCGACACCCCAACACTCACCCCGACACCCCAACACTCACCCCGATACCCCAAAACTCACCCCAACACTCACCTCGACACCCCAACACTCACCCCGACACCCCAACACTCACCCCGACACCCCAACACTCACCCCGACACCCCAACACTCACCCCGACACCCCAACACTCACCCCGACACCCCAACACTCACCCCAACACTCACCCCGACACCCCAACACTCACCCCGACACCCCAACACTCACCCCGACACCTCAACACTCACCCCGACACCCCAACACTCACCCCAACACTCACCCCGACACCCCAACACTCACCCCGATACCCCAACACTCACCCCAACACTCACCCCGACACCTCAACACTCACCCCGATACCCCAACACTCACCCCAACACTTACCTCGACACTCCAACACTCACCCCGACACTCACCCCGACACTCACCCCGTCACCCCAACACTCACCCCACCACTCACCTCGACACCCCAACACTCACCCCAACACTCACCCCGACACCCCAACACTCACCCCAACACTCACCCCGACACCCCAACACTCACCCCAACACTCACCCCGACACCCTAATACTCACCCCAACACTCACCCCAACACAAACCCCAACACTCACCCAGACACCCCAACACTCACCGCGATACCCCAATCACCCCAACACTTACCTCGACACCCCAACACTCACCCCGACACCCCAACACTCACCCCAACACTCACCCCGACACCCTAATACTCACCCCAACACCCCCACACTCACCCCAACACTCACCCCGACACTCACCCCGACACTCACCCCAACACCCCAACACTCACCCCAACACCCCAACACTCACCCCAACACTCACCCCAACACTCACCCCAACACTCACCCCAACACTCACCCCAACACTCACCCCAACACTCACCCCGACACCCCAATACTCACCCCGACACCCCAAGACCCCAACACTCACCCCGACACCGCAACACTCACCCCGACACCCCAACACCCCAACACTCACCCCGACACCCCAATACTCACCCCGACACCCCAACACTCACCCCAACACTCACCCCAACACCCCAACACTCACCCCAACACCCCAACACTCACCCCGACACCCCAACACTCACCCCGACACCCCAATACTCACCCCAACACCCCAACATTCACCCCAACACTCACCCCGACACCCCAACACTCACCCCAACACCCCAATACTCACCCCAACACTCACCCCAACACCCCAATACTCACCCCGACACCCCAATACTCACCCCAACACCCCAATACTCACCCCAATACTCACCCCAATACTCACCCCGACACTCCAATACTCACCCCAACACTCACCCCGACACCCCAACACTCACCCCGACACCCCAATACTCACCCCAACACCCCATTACTCACCCCCACCCCAACACTCACCCCGACACCCCAATACTCACCCCAACACCCCAACACTCACCCCAACACCCCAATCCTCACCCCAACACTCACCCCTACACCCCAACACTCACCCCAACACTCACCCCAACACCCCAATACTCACCCCGACACCCTAATACTCACCCCAACACTCACCCCGACACCCTAATACTCACCCCAACACTCACCCCAATACTCACCCCAACATTCACCCCAACACTCACCCCAACACCCCAACACTCACCCCGACACCCTAATACTCACCCCAACACCCCAACACTCACCCCAACACCCCAATACTCACCCCGACACCCTAATACTCACTCCAACACCCCAAAACTCACCCCGACACCCTAATACTCACCCCAACACCCCAACACTCACCCCAACACCCCAATACTCACCCCGACACCCTAATACTCACTCCAACACCCCAAAACTCACCCCCACACCCCAATACTCACCCCAACACCCCAACACTCACCCCACCACCCCAATACTCACCCCGACACCCTAATACTCACCCCAACACCCCAACACTCACCCCGACACCCTAATACTCACCCCAACACCCCAACACTCACCCAACACCCCAATACTCACCCCGACACCCTAATACTCACTCCAACACCCCAAAACTCACCCCGACACCCTAATACTCACCCCAACACCCCAACACTCACCCCAACACCCCAATACTCACCCCGACACCCTAATACTCACCCCAACACCCCAACACTCACCCCAACACCCCAATACTCACCCCGACACCCTAATACTCACTCCAACACCCCAAAACTCACCCCGACACCCTAATACTCACTCCAACACCCCAAAACTCACCCCGACACCCTAATACTCACCCCAACACCCCAACACTCACCCCAACACCCCAATACTCACCCCGACACCCTAATACTCACTCCAACACCCCAAAACTCACCCCGACACCCTAATACTCACCCCAACACCCCAACACTCACCCCAACACCCCAATACTCACCCCGACACCCTAATACTCACCCCAACACCCCAACACTCACCCCGACACCCTAATACTCACCCCAACACCCCAACACTCACCCCAACACCCCAATACTCACCCCGACACCCTAATACTCACCCCAACACCCCAACACTCACCCCAACACCCCAATACTCACCCCGACACCCTAATACTCACTCCAACACCCCAAAACTCACCCCGACACCCTAATACTCACTCCAACACCCCAAAACTCACCCCGACACCCTAATACTCACCCCAACACCCCAACACTCACCCCAACACCCCAATACTCACCCCGACACCCTAATACTCACCCCAACACCCCAAAACTCACCCCGACACCCTAATACTCACCCCAACACCCCAACACTCACCCCAACACCCCAATACTCACCCCAACACCCAAATACTCACCCCAACACCCCAACACTCACCCCAACACCCCAATACTCACCCCGACCCCCAAATACTCACTCCAACACCCCAAAACTCACCCCGACACCCTAATACTCACTCCAACACCCCAAAACTCACCCCGACACCCTAATACTCACCCCAACACCCCAACACTCACCCCGACACCCTAATACTCACTCCAACACCCCAATACTCACCCCGACACCCTAATACTCACTCCAACACCCCAAAACTCACCCCGACACCCTAATACTCACCCCAACACCCCAACACTCACCCCAACACCCCAATACTCACCCCGACACCCTAATACTCACCCCAACACCCCAACACTCACCCCAACACCCCAATACTCACCCCGACACCCTAATACTCACTCCAACACCCCAAAACTCACCCCGACACCCTAATACTCACTCCAACACCCCAAAACTCACCCCGACACCCTAATACTCACCCCAACACCCCAACACTCACCCCGACTCAGCACTCACCCAGCTGCCCCACCGCACCAACACTGCGACACCTCTAAGACCTCCGTCGAGCACGCTAGATCCATTATTGCCTTTGCTAGAAACAAAATCAATTACCGAATCGATACCTGCACTCTCCCGCTCCTCCTCCCCTCTTCTCCTTCACTTCTGCCTGTCCCCCTCTACCTCTTCCTCCTCCACCTCTTCATGCCTCCTCCTCCTCCACCCCTCCCTCGCCTCCTCCTCTATTTAATCTTCCCTCTCATCACCCTTCTCATCCTCCTCAATTCCTTCCCTCTCCTCCCCAACTCCTTCACTCCGTATTCAGTCCTCCACCTCCTCGCACCTCCTCAACCCGCCGTGTTGAAAGGGGGCCCTGAGGAATTGGCCACACGAAAAAAAAAAACGAGCGCGCAAAACAACGGACGCTGCAGGGCCCGCGTTAATTGCGAGTTAAGCTCACACATTGTGGAGGAAAATTCCGACAACAAAAAACGCAATGTAATTAACGGCCCTTCATCGGAGCAAAAAAATAAAAACCCCACGATATCGAAATTGAAAGAAAGCCCCTGTCTGAGAGGAGTTAAGGCACGAGGCCTCAGACCGGGCCGCGTTATTCAGATTTTTTTGTTTGTTACTAAAACAATTAGACAATTCATGATAGAATGTTAAATGCACAATT